CCCCAAAACCCCAAAACCCCAAAACCCCAAAACCCCAAAACCCCACAGTATTTAAGATATGCTGAAAGAGAAATAATAATAATTAGAAATACCAATCATCTATGTTTCATCCTTCGATAAATTCAGAGTATTCTTTATCCCAGCAAGACTACATCTACGAAGGTAGTGTGTTTGCTAGTGTGGTCTCCCAAAATACGGTAAGCATACTCCTGAGTGATAAATATTCAGTATCTTGGCTACTTAACTTCTAAACTGGGTTTTATTGCACTAGTGGAACGTATTAATCCATACCTTTGTTTGATGATTTCAAAAATTAGCGACTTACAGTTTTATAGGATTTTCAGCTTTCATCAAAAGATATGAATTACTTCGCCAAAAACAAAGAATTTTATTCAGAAATAATCGGATCAAATTGAATTGAATCCAAAAGTGAGAAACAATCTACAGCTCTTGAGAGCAATGGTTGATCCTTGATACAGCTAAGAGATAAAGGCCATAAGCTTCAAGTCTTTTCGTCTACTGTAGCACAGCCTGCAATAGAGGATTCATCATTAAGGAGTCAGGTAGAAGTGATTGCTCAAGATAAAAATCTTGATAGTAATGTTAGCCCTCACTCCTCTCCACCATCCCAGGACGGCAACAAGCATTTGAGACTTCTTCAAAACACAACTAGATATGACCAAAATCTAAGAGACTGCCTCAGGTTTTGCAGGAAGTTCTTTCTACAATTCTTTAAAAACCACAACCCTGAAATCGTTCGGAAGAGGTACGTTAACTGACCGATGAAGCAGGTCCTTCAAAGTACAACTCTCACTCTTTTCAGGGTTATGGCCGATGAAGAAGTGACTCCCAGCCTGGCTTATTTCTTAGTAGGCATTCTGAGTCTAAAGAGCCCATCCAGAATGAGATGCTCTTCTGAAGTCAAGAAGGAAATTGTTCTATTTTTAGAAACAACAAGGAAGTTCTCCATGATAAAATTCAGAGCAATAATGAAGTCTCCGAATCTTCAGACATTAGTGAAGCATTTGGCAAACCACTGTGATGACCCAAGGGCTTTAAAACTCAGAGATGCATTGGAATGCCTCCCAAAATAAGCATGTCTACCCCTACTCTGCTTACTTGGTTTTCCTAATCATAATTTAGTTTTAAATAAAAAAAATTTAAATTTTGTGATTCCTTAACCCTTCGAAATCTATTTAAAAACTGGGATTTTGGGATAAATTCTTGGGTATTTCAAGTGAAACCACCTCTTGGATGCTTAGATTTGTCTAAAGATGGGAAGGGAAGACTCTTGGTAGAAACCAGTATGCCTTAGCATGATTACACAGGGTTCGCTTCTATCTACTGGGTTGCTATTTTCATTAGAATTTGGCACTAAATTGGTAGGGCAAAATTGGGCTCGAATAACTATATAAGCTTTTAAGGACACACTGAATTTCAAGACCCAGAAAAGTCTTATTTGAGCAATTTAGTAAAGGAAGTCTCCTATTTCAAAATTGAAAATATTGCCATAAACTTCATACTTCTACTACATGAAATTTCTAAATATTTTCTATGATAAAAAATAATTCTCTTCAAAATGTCTGAAGGTTCAGCCTTAAAGCAGAGGGTTATTCACTACTAGAGATCATATCAAGTATATCATCACTAAAATCTTGAACACAGACTAATTTCTAGCATCTCTAGCTATTAAGAACAGTTAGAGCAAGCTCTGAACAAGAGCCGTTTTAGAGAATTATTAGTTTTTAATTTATCGCCAAAGCTTCGAAGAACTCTTCTCTTAAAATTTTCAGCGAATTCTCAAAATTCTTTGAGCAATAAAGTGTCATACCTCGAAGACAGCTTTAAGAATTCCAGACTAGTCTCAATAGCCAAGATGGCGAGCTTTCACTAATCATTTCAAGAATCTTTAAATTAATACATGTTAGTAAAGTAATAAACTGTGATTAATTTAAGTATCACTTGAAGCATCCCAAAATGCTCTTGGAGCCATCTATTATTAGCCTGCTTTAACAAGGGAACTCTTTTGAAACAATCATACAACAAGGTAATCAAATTCTACGTTGAACTCTCACAAATTTTCAAGCCCTGACTGCTCTAAAATATTTGATAGAAAATAGCATCAAAGAAGACCTGGAACGGCGCTGACTCCTGCTACAACTCAAAGGATCAGACCTAAAATGACTCTCTTTACTCAGAATTCAAGCTGAGGATGATTTCCCTTGCTTCAAAATCTACTTGGAAGAAGATCTGATGACGGTAGTATGCTAAGTAACCATGCATATGAAATTCTGCTGGTAGAACTTACATGCTAGAGATATCTTTTTAGCAAGAAACTTAGGCTCATTCAGCTTAATGCCTTGTGGTATCCTTAAATTTTGGAATGGAGAGACTAAAAAATTTAAGTGTCAGAAAATTCAGAAATCATCTAAATGTCCAATCGGTTCTAAAAACCAAAATTTTTATATAAAAATTCGAAAATTTTAATGCATCATGGATTCCCTAAAATTCAAAGAGAAAGCAGCCATGCCTTTTGACGACAAATAGGCTCAAAGAATGGCCAATAAATGAGCAGGAAAATGGTTTTCAGTGGGGAATCATCAGAGACTTTGTGTAGGCAAGATTTCTAAATTTCCCAATGATATATAACCATGAACAGTTCAGAATTCATATTTCCCAATCTATCACCACTGGAAGCGAAAGTTATACGAAGTTTATGAAATCTAATTAAGATTGAGTTAGAGGGAATTATATTAAGGCCTAAGAAGCTTCTTATAATATATTGCTCTTCATAGTTCTTTACCAGACCGTCCTTAAAGTACACTTATCGATGAAGTTTATTAGTCATTCCAAAGCTTTAGCTAGGCTTAAGTGAAATTCGCTCTATAATTTCTTACTCCCATAGGATAGTTTTCTCTCTCATCACATTAATCGCGACTAGTTTTCAAGGATGTTCCAGTCGCATGGCCAAAATCTCTACCATTTTCTTTGATTAAATACTACAGATTTCATAACCTTAGCATCCGTATTCAACAGCAGATAATCCATCTGGGGTTTTGGGGTTTTGGGGTTTTGGGG